GCCTCCATTCGGAGAAAGCCAGCCGGCGCCATTTTTAAATGCCGGCTAGTTCGAACCCCGTGCCGCGCGGCTACTCGCGGCACAGAGTAGCTAGTTCGGATTAGGCTTCCTAATCCAAACTAGCTGTACACCTCGTTCTACGAGGCGTACAGCTAGTTTGGATTAGAAGTCTAATCCGAACTAGCTATTCCGTGCTGCGGGTAGCTGCGCGGCACGGGGTTCGAACTAGCCGGCATTTAAAAATGGCGCCGGCCGGCTTCATGCAAATGAAGCCCGGGAAATTCAAATCCCGGGCTTCATTTGCAAGTGCGGATGACTACATTACCCCCGCTAGTTCGAACTAGCGAGGTAGTGTAGACATACCCCAAGATGCTTGGTCTAACACACCTACCTATACTCTTTTTCCCTTTTCTTGGGATACAGGCTTGTGACAGCTTCTGCAACTTTAACTTAAAATAATCCGAGGCCTCCTCCACCTCAAGATCCATAATTTCTTTAGGCCAATCAACTTCCCTAACTAATTTCCTTAATTTATTAAAGTTAGCCCTTTTGAAATAAAAAACCCTAGTCTCAGATTTATTTTTGTTTATCCTTCCATTTAATTTGAACTGAATTAGCTCATGATCACTCGAGCCAAGGTTGTCTCCTACAACCATTTCATCTATGAGGTCCTCGCTACTCACCAAAACCAAATCTAAAATAGCATCCCCCCTTGTTGGTTCAGCAACTACTTGATGAAGGAATTCATCAGCTATCACATCTAGGAAAATCTGAGCCCTATTATTATTACTAGCACTTGTTCTCCAGTCTATATCTGGAAAGTTGAAATCTCCCATGATTACGCAGTTTCCATGAGTATTTACTTCATTAAAAACATTAAAGAGGTCTCAAGTTTCTTCATGAGGTTGATAGATTTCCACTCCATACGGCTAAATGCAGTGCCTTGCATGGTGTCAAGTATCAGAGGGGTAGCCGTGTTAGTCTGAATCTGCAGAAGCGATGAGGAGTCCTGTGGCACCTTATAGACTAACTGAAGTGTAGGAGCATAAGCTTTCGTGGGCAAAGACCCACTTCGTCAGATGCATGTAGTGGAAATTTCCAGAGGCAGGAATAAATATGCAGGCCAGGATCAGGCTGGAGATGACCAGGTGGATCCAATCAAGGAGGATGAGGCCCACTTCTAGCAGCTGATCTGGAGGTGTGAATTCCAAGAGAATAGAAGCTGCTTTTGTAGTTAGCAAGCCATTCACAGTCTTTGTTTAATCCAGAGTTGATTGTGTCAAACTTAAAGATGAACTGTAGCTCAGCAGTTTCTCTTTGAAGTCTGGTCCTGAAGTTTTTTTGCTGCAGGATGGCTACTTTTAGATCTGCAATTGTGTGTCCAGGAAGATTGAAGTGTTCCCCTACAGGTTTTTGTATGTTGCCATTCCTAATATCAGATTTGTGTCCATTGATTCTTTTACGTAGGGACTGTCCTGTTTGGCCGATGTATATAGCAGTGGGGCATTGTTGGCACATGATGGCATATATTACGTTGGTGGATGTGCAGGAGAATGTACCAGTGACAGTATGGCTGGTCTGGTTAGGTCCTGTGATGGTGTTGCTGGTGTATATATGTGGGCAGAGTTGGCACCGAGGTTTGTTGCAAGGATTGGTTCCTGAGTTCGAGTTATTATGGTGCGGTGTGTAGTTGCTGGTGAGAATATGCTTCAGGTTGGCGGGTTGTCTGTGGGCAAGGACCGGCCTACCTCCCAAGGCCTGTGAGAGCGAGGGATCATTGTCCAGGATGGGCTGAAGATCACTAATGATGCGTTGGAGAGGTTTTAGCTGGGGACTATAGGTGATGGCCAGTGGTGTTCTGTTGGTTTCTTTCTTGGGCTTGTCCTGTAGCAGGAGGCTTCTGGGTACACGTCTGGCTCTGTCAATCTGTCTCCTCACTTCCTCGTGTGGGTATCGCAGTTTGACGAAGTGGGTCTTTGCCCACGAAAGCTTATGCTCCTACACTTCAGTTAGTCTATAAGGTGCCACAGGACTCCTCGTCGTTCTATTCTCTGGATCAGCTCTGGTTACAGGCCTATCTATTCTTCTCAATAAGGAGTCCCCAGTCACGTAGACCTGCCTTTTCCTGGTGACAGTGCGATTCTCTAGTCTATCTCTTGCTTCCTCTGGCTGCAAGTCCTTGCCATTCCTGTTTTCCCTTGTAAACCTCTTCAACCCATCCTGTGTCCTCCTGATGCTCATTATTGGTGTTGTCTCCATTAACTCTTCCTCTTTATCTATGGGACTAACCACTCTTCTCTTCTTCCTTACCCTTCCATCTTCACTATCTACCTGCTGTACCCCTTCTTCATTCTCCAACTCCACATACCTGTTCTTGAGCTCTATTTTTCCTTCACTGACCCATCTTTTCCTCTGCCTGGTTCTCTCAGTCACATGCTAAACGATTAGTCGATAGGGTGCCTCCGCCTTTGACTGTTGCTACACTTCAAAGATTAAAGTGCTGCAGGGAGCACGGGGCCAGCAAGGCAGTCCCCCGCTGGCACCGTGCTCCCTATGGTGTTTCAAAGCGGCAGCGCCACTTAGAGCCCAGGGATAGCTGGGGACTCCCCTGCTGACTCCAAGATCCATGCGGCACTGCTGCTTTAAAATGCCACGGGGGAGCCCAGTGTCAGGCTGCACGTGGCATTTCAAAGCGGCAGCACCTCATGGAGCCTGGAGTCAGCTGGGGACTCCCCCACTGATCCTGGGCTCCACGTGGTGCTGCTGCTTAGAAACACTGTGTGCAGCCTGGGGTAGTGTTTCAAAGCTCCACATGTTGCTGCCACTTTGAAGTATCCCCTCCTCTTCCCTCCTCTGCTACCTTGCTGCCTCTTTCTGATAGAGGCAGCAAGGGGAGGAGAGGTGGAAGCGACCTGTCAACCAGCCTGTCGACTATCCGATAAGCATTTACTTATCAGATAGTCGACTAGGTGTTCACATCCCTAACCGATAAGCCCAAGTTTATCAGTTAATTGTTTACTCGACTATACACTAACTTTGCTAATACACAGGTCTTTACCCTAGTTTTATAGTTAATTTAGAATCATGTAATGTATATGGATAGCATACATTTTTTCCCTTCCAATGTGTTTTACTTTGCAGTTATCAACATTGAGCTTTCCATTGCCATCATGTTGCCTGTTCACTTTGGCTTGGTGAAGTCTTGTAGCTCCTCACAGTTTGCTGTAATTCTGATTTAATCAAAATAATTTTGTCATCTACAATTTGCTTCCTTATTGTATACCCCCCTTGCCAGTTTCATATGCTAACGGTACATCTAGACTACACACTTTTTTCGAAAGAGGCTTTTTCGAAAAAGAGCATCTAGACTACAACCAATACTTTTGAAAAAGCAAGCTGCTTTTTCAAAAGAGAGCACCCAGGCAGTTTGGATGTTCTTTTTTGAAAAAGCACTGTTTGCATTATATAGCACCTTTTTTCAAAAGAACACTTTTTAAAAAAAAAAAGGCATTCTCCCTCCTAAAACAAGGTTTTCCATGGTCGAGAAAACTGCCGTGTTCTTCCTATTTACTTTTGAAAGAACGCTGCAGCAGTCTAGGCGCAGGGAAGGTTTTTTTTTTATTTTATTTTATTATTTTTTGGGGGGGGCTACTTTTTTCGAAAAAACCCAGTAGTCTAGACACACCCTAGATTACTAAGAAACCTTGAGGTACTCTTATGTAAATCTTTTGGCATGATTAAGTTTTTCCATTTCATCTTGCTTTATTTTTTGTCTCCTAGCTAATTTTTGATTTGTGACAATATTACTATTTTATTTGTATTGCCATAGTACGGAGGAGCCCTTGTCATGGAACATGATCCTATTATGTTAAATGCTGTATAAACGTAGAACTAAAAGAGAATCCTTGTCCCCAACGAATTATTTTTACTCCTGTCCCATGTCTAATTAGTTTCTTTACTAATTGTGAAGGATCTTTTCAAAGGCCTTTTAAAAGTCTAAACAAACTATCCTCTGGTTCTCCCCTATCTACTACTTTATCAACCCGTACAAAAGAATTGTAATAAATTAGTGAGATATGATTTTCCTTTTTTGAATCTGTGCTGATTAGGCCCCATCATATTGTGATTTTTACAGATGTTTTCTTTGTTCTAGTTTTAGTTGTCGTTTTAAACCAATTTTTCAGTTACAGATGCAAGGTTTACTTGTACTGTGTATCAGATTGCCACCATTCCTTAAAAACCTATATATATATTTTTAAAATTATAGCACTTGCAGTGTCCTGCATTTTCAGTCTTTTATTTTGTTTGGTAAATTTCTGGGAAAATTTAAAGTTCATTACAGAAATTAAAAAATGGGTGAAGATCAGTGCAAAAATTAACTCAAGTTTTCTGGGTAAATTTCAGAGTTAAGATTGGGATGAGAGGACAGAAAAAAGTAACCAGTAGAGGAACATCAGGGTATTGTAGTAAGAACAGTTTAGTGCTTTGGCTTATTTTGTGAACTAAACATTGTCAGTACATGCACGCATGTGTGTGTCTGTATCTTTCCAACATTGCCTTACTTTAACAGTGTAAATTAGGAAGTTTTAAACAAATTTATTAACAAAAACATATCAAGCTAATATATCAACGTATCTGGAACATAACAAAAACATACCAACATATCTGGAATAGTGGCTGCTTTAAGTGAGGGATTTCATATTTTTGCTAGCAGCTCAGCCACTTCATTCTTAAGCTCCTTCAGAGTGTTGGATGTATGCCATCTGGATTGGTGACTTATTGCTTTATAAACTGTATTAGCACTACTTCTTCTGACATCTCCTTTGCGGATAGTACCTCATCTTTATTACCACAAAAGACCCGGTCTGAATTATGTGTCTCCCCAACATCATCTTCTATGGTGAAGACTGACGCAAAAAATGATTTAGCGTCCCAGCAATGTCTACACTTCCTTAGAGAGAGTAAAATACATGTCTCCTTTTCCTAATACTGTATTTATCTCCAACACTTTGTACAGACACATCATTTGAATTAAAAAATCTATGCAAAACAACTTCTAATTGGAATATTCCAATTCAGTCACAGTTCTAATTAACATGTATTTACACTGTGTTATATTAATGCTACTAATGTGGCTCTTTTTTTGCAGGTGTATGGTAGGAGGTAAAATTGCAGTGTGCTCTTTGGACAGTGTGATATGTATGACATAAAATTCAATATTATAAATCATGTAAATCATTGTAGGTCTGTTTAGAACACGTCTTTCATCTGTTGTGTAATGGACTGATTGATGATGCCTACCGGAACCTGTCCCTGGCAGAAGGCTGGAGGTATGGAGAACAAACAGCTGCTCATGATAAAGAAATGAAACTCATTCAGGCTTATAAAGGATTGCTGGACTACTATAACTGGTCTGAAAAGAGAAAAGCCATGTTAGAGCTTGGTGAGTACCAGGAGCTGTTTAGCTCTGTCATTCTCACAAGTCACCATGGTTTGCTGATGATCCTTCAAGGAGGAAACATTGGTGGTAAAAGCTTGCATTCAGTCTGATCACTTACAGCACAGAGAGCTTATAAAGTTCTGATGCATACATTTTATTTTATTTTTTTAAAAGCTTTAATTAATTGGATATGCAAAGTCTCCTCCAAAAGAATTGTTCTTAGCGGAGAACAAGCTCCTGGCTACCTTCTCAGTAAGAAAAATCTAAACATCTCGGTGGAATTTTCTGCTTACTTCATGATAAACTTGATCTGATTGAGGCTGGGTTTATAGTGGTAAGTGCCTTGGTTTCCTGAGAAATCATCTTGATGTTACCACTGTGGGAGTGGAGATCAGCTGAGATATAGGAAGTAACAGTCCTCACATTTAAATGAAGAAGGGGCCCTTGTTCTCAACAAGAAACCCTTAACTATGTAATTTCTTTCTCATGTTTTTCATGCCATATAATTGTGGGAGGAGGTGGAAAGTAACACTGGAATATTGTTTGACGTTTGTTTAAAAAGTCATTTGTTGTATCTGTGTGCTGTGAAACTTCTACAAGAAGGCATATTTATTATAAATCAAGATAAAATAAAGGTAGATGAAAATCCCCAGCACAGGATCCTGATCACTTAAAAATGTTATTTGAATCCTTTATTCCTCTTAGGGTCAGGAACTGAGAGTTTTATTTGAATGAAAATTATAAGTACTACCATAAAATATTTTCTGCACAAGGGTATGTCTACATAGCAACATTATTTTGAAATAACTAGTGTTATTTCAGAATAACTTAGTCCATGTCTACACCGCAGGTAGTTCTTTTGAATTAATGTCTAAATACTTTCAAGCTGAAGGACTTCGTACTCTGACTCCTGTAACCCTCATTGTACGAGAAGTAAGGGAAGTTGGAGGAAGAGTGCTCTATTTCAAAATAAGTGCTTTGTAGACACTCCCAATTTTGAAATAAGCTATGCAATTGATGTAGCTCAATTTGCATAACTTATTTCGAGTTAAGCCTTGTGTAGACATACCCAAGAGAAACAATACCATTTATTTTAGATTTTTATGGCTAGATATTAAAAAGTCACTTACCCAAAGCTCTGACTACCCTTGAATATATTCCAAAACGTGTGCGTGTGTGTAAAAGATGGAAATTCCATCGACTACTCGACAAGTCAGTTAACTGTTACTTAACATCTATTCATTTGTCCTCATTTTTTAGCTTGCACTGAGCTTTATTCTCTTAGGTTAAGATGCTGTCTTTGAAGTTGGATTAAAAGTGTTGGCTTTTTTTTCTGTAAAGGCCACCATGGCTTGAATCCTAACTTTGTGAGACTACCACTTATGTACATTTAAAAAAAATCTTTTGGCAGATGATGATGATCTTGCACAGTTTGTTGAACAGGAAATGCACAGTTTCTTTCGGCAGGCAGCGGTAAATTTCAAGGAGATAATTAAAATACCTGGCGTATGGGACCCTTTTGTAAAGTGTTATGTGGAGGTAAGGACACTTCTTTGCAAATATTACTCAAATGCTCATTTGTCTTATCTTAAACAGAGTGGTTTGATCAAAGTGAAATATTTTCTGATGTTTGATTACTTGCAGTTAAGGTATAGTTAGGAAAGTGATTTTCTGAAATGCTGCCTTTTAAAACAATATATGTAATGTTTTCATGTCACATCTGCTTACAATCCTGATGAAAGGAAGCTTTTATTCTTGCAAGACCATCATAATTATGAGAATACAAGCAGGAGTCTACTAGTATAATCACTAAAACTGGAGATGTTTTTGTTACTTGTGATGGTGCCAGTATTAGAGCATGGCTTGATTGTTCAGATATCAGATTGTATTTGTTGTACAAATGGAATCCTCTTTTAATTATAAGATGATTATAGTTGGATCCTGAAGTCACAAAACAAATATGGAATCTCACAATTTGATTTTCTGATTATAACTGCTAAATCAACTAACTTTTAAAATTGAATTAAACTTAAAATAACTTTAAAACAGTTTAATTATTCTTGCACTGCTAATGGCACTTGGTTTTCTTTGATGCTAGCAAGCCTTTCAGGATTTTACCTTCTCCTGGGATTTGCTATGCTATCTTATTAAATTGACCACTGTCATGGAGAATCTTGTTCACTAAAAAGAAATACTGTGACAGCAAGTATTTACTATATAAATGTTTAATGTATTTTCCCTGTATTTAATGACTTTTAGGTATGAACATTTTCATATATAGTGGAAAGCGAATTACATATTAGAGCAGTATTATTAAGACACATTAGATTTAAATTGAAATCTATTAGCATTATTCATTACTAATCCAGAGGCATCTAGTATTGCTGGGCTTACTGTCCTGTGCACATATATATATATATCAAGAATCTTTTGCCTCACACTATTACAGAAAAGCTTCACCCCATTTTTCCTTATTCTTGTTACTTGCAGTCCAATGCCTATTGAAATTAAGGGATTATTTCCTTTGACTCCAGTAGGATGCAGATCAGAATCTGTTTTCAGTAGCACACAGAGATCAAGGATAGAACTGGTCACTGGGAGAGCTAACATTTGTGTTTAGAGAGGATCCCTCCAAGTTAAAGTTGGAGAACATTATTACAGGTTGTAGGGGATAGGGAAAGTATGAGGAATCTGGTTGTGCAGTTACTCCTGTCTGATCTGTAGAGGATTTAATTCTTCAGGGTTGTCAAACAAAGACCTCTCAGAAACACTAAAATGGATTGTGTAGCAAAAGGCTCCTTTACATCTTAGTAGTAAGTGATTTACAGGATTATCATCACAGTATAGTTTGTGACCATCTAAAACTAGTTGTGATATTTCTGATCTCTGTTACGCTATCAGGCTCTAACAGTGTGCTTACATTTTCTTCTTCACAGCTATTGGAATTCTATGAGGATTATGATGAAGTCCGGCAGGTGTTAAGCGAGTATGCTTACAATTCGAAGTTTCCTTCCAATCCCAATGCTCATGTTTATTTGTATCAGTTCCTAAAAAGACAGGGTGAATCAAAGAAGACACGGATAGCTGTGCTCAAGGTATAAGATTTCGACTATTTTGATATATTGTTTTTATGACTAGTTTTACAGAATATAAATTAATTAAATTGAAAAATAGATTTTCAAAAGTCTATTTCTGCTTTATCAGCAGTTACAGATTTTGTCCAAAATTTTTAACATATTTGGACAGAAGAGAAACCAAATTCTATCCTCAGACTATTGCAAGTCTTCTGATACCACATAGAAAATGGTGCAAATGTTTGGAAAAACAATTCTTAAATGTTTCCTCCTTGATATTTTATTTGGTATCTCATTCTATGGCCCCGTAAGTTATATTTGTGTTTAACTGAAATATCAGGAAACTTCTGGATCATTCTATTCCAGGGTAGGAGATGATGTTGTTGCATTTAATCTGTGTTATAGTTATGGTCTGCTTTTTCTGTTTTTCTGCTTTTTCCGTAAAAAGCATTTGGGCACTTAAGTAAGCCGTATGGTGGATTGAGAATTTCTCCCACTATTTCTCCTTTTTTAGGAGTATTTGTGTTTACCGTATGACAATATCATAAATGTTTCTCTGAGATTAACTATTCAAATTATTTCTGAATAGTAGAGTACCTGTCATTTTAAACTAAGGATGTAAAATCCCATTTAATTGGCTAACCAGTTAAAATATTGTTTAACCAGTTAACTGATTAAGGGGGGCGGGGATTGAGTAGTGCTAGAACCCCTTCCTCCCCCACCTCAGGCAGGGGCTGCACCAGCTGGGATGCTGGAGCAGCCTCTGTCTGCTGCGGGCCAGGATGCCCCACAGGCGAAGGGTGCTTTGGTGTCCTGGTTTGAGTACACCGGTGTGCAGTAAGCCTCCTGCGTGGCTGGAGCAGCTCCCTATTTGCTACAGACGAGGAGCTGCTCCAGCCCCATTGGTTAACCTTAACTGGTAAGCCTCACCATTTGAGGATGAGGCTTACCAGTTAACCCTTCGCATTCCTTTTGTGAGCACAGAGAGCTGTTGGAGAAAGAAATTCTCTATCACTAACATTGATCTGTCTTGTAATTTAACAAAGGTTGTCAAAAAAGGAGGCAGGGGCATTGTGTCTGTGTTTGCAAGGCATTTGAGGGTGAAAAATAGGTATCTGTATGCAGACAGACAAGAAGGGTTGATGGGAAATACTGAGCACAATATATTAAATATGTACCCATTCTTTTCCCTTTGTCTCTATCCTTTTCAGAGTCTCACACAGTGGAGATGTGTACACTGTGGCTGGTGGTATAATTTCCAGCTCAGGGAGACGTATGTACTCTAGCTTTGATCCTGTAGCTGTGGCAACATGCATGCAGCTCAGATTAACTGCCCGAGTACATATCTGGATTCTGGATGTGATTATTCTCAGTTAGCTAGCATAAATTGCTGTTCGTGCTAGGGCAGCTACACTGCAATTTTTAGTGTGCTAGCTAGCTCATTCAAAGCTAGCATGTGTATAACTGCTCAAGTTAGGAATTATATCTTCAGCTGCAGTATAAAACATGTCCCTGATGCAGCAAAACACCTAAGCAGGTGCTTACCTATATATGAGTGTAAGGGATTTGCGGAATCATAATCTTAATCTCTGAAATCTTCTGGTTTTTAAGCATCATCCACTTGTTTAATTTCTGTCTTGTTCTATTTGATTGTGTTCAATGAATCATGCAGATAACTCAGTAAGTTTCATATTGTAGCCTGCAGCACATGAGGATTCTTGGCTAGCTTGTTCTATTCCTATGTATAGTGTGTGCATGCTGTGGCTGCAAAGTAGAATTTATCCAGTCATTTTGGTAAGTTATATTTTGCCATCTGAGGTAAACTGATCATAAAGGAAGTGGGATGCTTATGTTAGTGACAGGACATCAACATGAAGATTCAAACTTGGGATTGATAAGAGTGCAGAGCAAATTAACATCTGCTGTCTGTCTTTCACACATGTCTAAATTCAGATCTCTCAGTTCAGTCTTGATCATTTGTGGGACTGATTTTCAATTTTATATGTTAATGGTTTCTTGTTAGTTCAGAAAAGATGTTGATGTAGCTTTAAATAGACTTGCATACAACAAATTGTTCTACTTTTATCTTTAAATTTAATTTACTAAAGAAAAAATGGTGTTTGCTTTGTTTCTGCACAGAGATTTCAGTTGGATTTTCAGACATTTTCTGTGAACCATAGAACTAAGCTAGAGTAAAACTTCCTATTCTTGATGGTTATTGGTAGTTATACTCCTCTCCATACTAAGCTAATTTAGCTCCCTTTGGGTAATTCTGAATTGATTTGCCTTGGCTTCCCAAACTGTAGTAGGTTTTTTTGCTTACCATGTTTATAATCTTTTTAGCCACATGGTGGCACCAAAACACTTTACTGTGCATGTTCTAACATTGCTTCCTAAGTTTTTTAACTCAAATGTAGAGTCACCAAATATTCCTGCATTTTACAAAATTCCATATTTCCAGTATTATAACTTTCATCTCACCCAGGATTTTGGGATGAACTAAACAATAGTTCTGCAAATTAATCTCTTACTATAAATTAGACTCAAAGCAAAAAATTACATTTAGATATCCTGTGGTAGAACACAACGATGAATTTTATCACTTTTTGTCACAATTTTTCTAAAGTAAAAACTTATTAACTGTATGGTAATTAAGAAAGCTCTCTTCCCGTTCAGTGTTAACTTGTAATATTGTAAAGCCAATCTTGTGTATATTATTACTTATAGGCTGTGTCTACACTGGCCACTTATTCCGGAAAATCAGCTGCTTTTCCGGAATAACTTGCCAGCTGTCTACACTGGCCCCTTGAATTTCTGGAAAAGCACTGACGATCTACTGTAAAATTGTCAATGTTTTTCCGGAAAAACTATGCTGCTCCAGTTCGGGCAAAAGTCCTTTTCCGGAAAACTGTTCCGGAAAAGGGCCAGTGTAGACAGCACAGTAGTGTTTTCCGCAAAAAAGCCCCAATCGCGAAAATGACGATCGGGGCGTTTTTGCGGAAAAGCGCGTCTACATTGGCACGGATGCTTTTCCAGAAAAGCATCCTTCCAACGTAGACGTGCTTTTTCTGGAAATACTTATAACGGAAAACTGTTCCGTTTTAAGCATTTCCGGAAAAGGGTGCCAGTGTAGACGTAGCTATATTGTTTGAAAATGGGAAGAGCACTTTAAGAGTCCTATAAATGTTTATGCAGTGGGAAAAACATAGTATTTATAAGGTACATGCCTAACATTATAAATCGTGGGGTTTAATGTTTTTTAAAAGCCAATATCTTAATCTTTTGAGATGGACAAAATAAGCACAGAGTATACAATTCTGACCCCATTGTAAATAGTAGAAAAACTCCATAAATTCACTCAGATTAAGTGACTTATCCCAGGGTCCATAGTCATTGACTGATTAGGGAGTAGAAACCTAATGGCATATTAGGGTACATTGGGAGGAGCATTTCCAGCAGATTTAGGTAAGTGATTATTCTACTTTATTTGATGCTGGTGAGGCCACATCTGGAGTATTGCATCCAATTCTGGGGCCCCCACTAAAGAAAGAATGTGGACGCATAGGAGAGGGTCCAGCGGAGGGTAACCAAAATGATTAGGGGCTGGAGCACATGACCTATGAGGAGAGGCTGAGGGATTTGGTCTTATTTAGTCTGCAGAAGAGTGAGGGGGGATTTGATAGCAGCCTTTAACTAACTGAAGGGAGGTTCCAAAGGGGCTGAAGAGATGCTGTTCTCAGTAGTGACAGATGGTAGAACAAGGAGCAATGGTCTCAAGTTACAGTGAGGGAAGTCTAGGTTGGATATTAGGAAAAGCTATTTCACTAGGGGGGTGGTGAAGTACTGGAATGGATTACCTAGGGAGGTGGTGGAATCTCCATCCCTAGAGGTTTTTAAGTCCCGATTTGACAAAGCCCTGTCTGGGATGATTTAGTTGGGGTTGGTCCTGCTTTGGGCAGGGGGCTTAACTCGATGACCTCCTGAGGTCTCTTCCATCCCTATGATTCTATGACACCTGGTGTCTCTTCCCAGTCTGTCATTTAACTATGAGGCTGTGTGGTCTAGTGATCACAATACCTCTGTGAGGGAAATTATTTACAGATGCTTTTATAGCTAGGTAAAGTAAAGAGCTCAGTAGGATGAAGTTACTTGTCCAGAATGTCTCAATTAAGAATGGCCACTGTCTAGTTTTTGTTACACATTTTGAAGGTTATTTTTGTTCACCATGTGTTTGAGTTACTAAGATGATATAGTATTGGCTAAAAGTACCTAATGCGGGGAATACTGTTTATCACTGTACTTCAAGTCCTTGATATATTTCCATATGCTGCACTTTCTACTAAATAATGCATTTTTCAGTAGTCTATCAAATATCAGAAAAGTACAAGAAATGCTTTTTAAAGCTCACCATCTGGATAAATGGTTAAATAATCTAGTTCTCTCAGGCTGTTGCATTCCTTTTCTGGTCCTAGTTTACTCCATTTATTAAAATAAAACATTTTGCTTTTCTCTCTATTCTTTTCTGATTCCTGATTGGTTCCACTCCTTGTATTATTGGAGGTGGGGGGAAGGGCTTATTGTCACTGGCTAATAAAGAATCTTGTGGAACATCTGGCTGGGTTAGCAATAATGGGAAAGACAGATCCTGGGGAAAGAGGGAAATTAATGTAAAAGAGGAATGTAAATGAACACTGTGAACTAAGTTGTGCCTACTTCTATGCAGATGAATAAAAGGGAAGGCAGGCACAAGGCACTCACTGTTTGGAGTTTCTAATACCACAGCTGGTGCTAGTTTACAAACCTTGTACATGTATATACACAGAATTCACTACAGAGGGGCATGGTGTGTGCCTTGTACCTGCCTTCCCTTTTATTCATCTGCATAAAAGTGAGAGAAAAGGGGACCATGGTCCAGAACTAGTGCACCACCAGCCAATGAAATTGGGTCCATTCAAGAAGAGTCCACACAGCACTTTGCTAAAGGATGTTTTGGATGCGGCCTCAGGCAGCTCCTGATACATTATGCCTCCATTGGGCACAATGCCTCAGTGAATTGCCTGCCACCAAGATACTGCATCTCCCAATCAAACAAAGTGTCTTAAAACTGCAGTCTAGTATTAATTGTTTGAGTTGTTCTATATGACAGAATTAAAGCACCAAATTGGTTAAGATTCTATAACAGAAATATTTTTTTCCAGATTTTGCATGAGCTTGTTCCTTCTCATGAATTAATGTTAGAATATAATGCCATGCTTCAAAAATCAAGTAAGTCTGTGAATACTTGTTCTTTTTCTTTAAGTTATTCTGATTACATGTTTCATAGAATGTCTGTTGGCTGCTTCTTGTTTAAAATAGTTTTAATGTATTAAAAAAGTATGGTGTAAGGAAGACAGGAGTCTAGAAGACAGTCATTGACAGATAGTTACAAGCCCCTGCAAATAAATGCTTGTCTAAATAAAATTGTACAGAGTGGCAGAGTCTGTAGGCAACACAGCCAAGATCTCAATATTGATTAGTTATTTTGGTTCCTCAATGTTCGTGTGCTCAATGTGTTATCTTAATGAAGCCTCTGACTTTTTTTCAGAGAGGATTGATGTACAGCACTCTCCCTGAACTCAGTACCTATTATTCATTAGATCCAAAACCAAAACTCTCATCTCTTCCAAATGGACCGTATCTGAAAATAATCTCCAGAATTGGCATAGCCCCCATCTCGATCTGCTTGTCACTTGCAATATAAGTCAGACTCTTCTCTTGAATTGATCCTCTGAATTGTATATTGTAACTAACTTGTATGCAATGTGATGAAGGTTCTTTAATTCCAAGATCATTTCTTCCCTGTCCCCCACCTCACTTGTCTTTCTGAAAATGTTCCCTGGGAGGTTGTAGTATCTTTTGTGTTACAAGTGCACATATGATATAAGCACAATTTTTCAGATACTTTTTTCTGCTCTGATAACTCAGTCTTGTTTTAAAAATCCAGACTTGGCTAGCATATTATTTCCAGTGAGGTGCCTGCTTTATCAAGACTGGGAACAAGATAAATACATAGATCCTTTCTGGTTCAAGTGAGCATTAAACTCCTGATCCCATATAGTTCTAAGCACCCTATCCAGCACTTAAATTAAAGAAAGTAGGACACATGGCAATGAGAATATACTGCTCTTTGCAGGGGGTGTGGCACAGCAAGCAGAAGTAAGCCTATAAAGTGAACTTCTGGTTCTATTGACGTTCAATACCCAAAATTCTCCTTGGCTTTTGAAACCAGGATTAGTGCTCAGTGTGTATGTCTGAGTGGAAAGATTGGCACTTCTAAGAGAGTGTGTGTGTGTGTGTGTGTGTGTGTGTGTGTGTGTGTGTGTGTGTGTGTGTGTGTGTGTGTAAGATTTGTTCATTATTATATTTTACCGTATAGAGTTGTGAGTCATTGCACATGAGGAACAAACATAGATTCCTTGATAGATTAGTCTTCTGACATGCCACAAGTGAAATTTAAGACCTAGATTTATAAAACAGGCTTGACTATAAGAGAAAAGTATCATATATAATAAACAATAGTAAATGTTGCCTTGTTGGAATAGCATGGAGATCTGTGGGCTAACTCTGAGGGGATTTGTGAGTGAGTCAGGTTTTTTTTTTTTTTTTAAATCTTCTGGCTTGTGGAAACTTGGAACAAACCAGAAACAGTGTATTCAATCTGCAGGAAGGGGATTAGTCAGGAGCATCATTTTTGGGCTCTCAGGATTTGCTGACCAGAGGCAGCAGTCATGTTGTAAGACAGTCAGTTTAAGTATGAGTGAACTTGGTTCTTCTAGATGATTGCTCTTGCAATCAGTAGTCATTGAGCAGGATTACAAAGACAGAGCGCTGTTCTACTACAAGCTATCCTCCAAAAACTGAACAGCTGTCCTGGATTCTAGATATACTCTGGTTTAAAATCACAAAGAGGGCATCATCGTGACCAGCAGAATGAAGGGGAAAACTAGATCTCGTTGCTGCTTGTTTTATGAATGAATGCAGGATTGTTCATTAACTTGACCTGTTTTAATTCCAGAAAAAAGAAAAAAACATAGACTGGGGCTGCAGGTTATTTTCACAGTCCTGGATTTTGCTGGGTGGAAGGAGCATGTAAAAGCTTGGAGCTGTTTAGCAAAACAGATTAAACAGATCCTGGAAAAGTAAGTATGGTACAGCTGCCATTGCCACACTAAGGGAATTAAACATTACAGTGTGTCAGTGTCTATGGAAACTAGGATATGTGCAGGTGCACTTTGATAGCAAGAAAATGGTTCTCTTGTATCCTTTCACAGGCTTGTTCTTTACTGAACAGAAGAGTAAACTCGCGAGTCCGGTAGTTGTTTACTGTCAGTGCCCAGCCAGCAGAGTGCCCTTTTAATAAAATGTCCATGGCACTCCGTAGTCCCAACCACTGCTTCTTTCAGTGGTAATACTACAGTGTTTGGTCTGCTACTGTTAGAATACTACAAGATCGAGAGATGTCATTATTACCCTTTATTCGGCTTTGGTGAGGCCACATCTGGAGTATTGTGTCCAGTTCTGGGCCCCCCACTACAAAAAGGATGTGGATGCATTGGAGAGGGTCCAGGGAGGGCAACCAAAATGATTAGGGGGCTGGAGCATATGACTTATGAGGAGAGGCTGAGGGACTTGGGTCTGTTTAGTCTGCAGAAGCGAAGAGTGAGGGGGGATTTGATAGCAGCCTTCAACTTCCTGAAAGGAGGTTCCAAAGAGGATGGAGAGAGGCTGTTCTCAGTAGTGGCAGATGGCAGAACAAGGAGCTATGGTCTTAAGTTGTGGTGGGAGAGGTCCGGGTTGGATATTAGGAAAAACTATTTCACTGGGAGGGTAGTGAAGCACTGAAATGGGTTACCTAGGGAAGTAGTGGAGTCTCCATCCTTAGAGTGTTTAAGTCTCGGCTTGACAAAGCCCTGGCCGGGGTGATTTAGTTGGGATTGGGCCTGCCTAGAGCAGGGGGCTAGACTTGATGACCTTCTGAGGTCTCTTCCAGTTCTATGGTTCTATGATTTTATTTTAAAAAGGTGACCATTGCGTGAGTAGTGAGCTCCTGAGCCACCAGGAATTGATATAGTCTCTGGCCAGCACTGAATGGGGTTAACTGGAACTCCAAAAGAAACCATCTACAAGTAGCTCACCCTGGTTAGATGTTTATAGTGATGAGTAGATGTCGGAAAACTGCTGAATGAAGGTGTTCAGAGGTGTGATCCTGGAGGCTTCTCTACTCCCTGAAAGGCAAACTGCACCTGACCCATTCATAATTGTTAGCTATGTGTATCAGTGGTGCCCTTTAACATAATATGTATGTTTTGTATGTAAAAGGTGCTCCAGGTTGTTTCTAGCTCCGCTTAAAACACTTTCTCAAATATTAAGCTCTGTGGGACCAGGATTATATCTTATGTAAAATACCTTGTAATGTAATGCTTTTTTACACATAGATCTGGTATTGAGTAAAAGTGTGTGAAAACAAGAGCGGCCCTAGACTAGCTGCCAGCAACTGGTGCCCTAGTGAACCGTGCAATTGGCACCCTCACCTCCAGACCCCTCAACAATATTGCACCACCATTTGGCGCCCCATTTAACTTGGCACCCTAGGCGACTGCCTATTTCGTCTATATGGACGGGCTGCCCCTGCTTGAAAAGCATGTAGGCCAACATTCAGTGATGTGATGCAGCCTTTATATAAATATCAACCACTGTTGCTAGTCTCATGGCTTGTCAATTAAGATATTTTCACTGTGGGTTAGGATGAGAATTTGACTTACTAAACCAGGGATATCTTGGTGGTGTTTCTGTTTAGTGAAATCTGTTCAGAAGGCCAGCCTTATCTGCAATCTTGTGTTCTGTGAGTCAACACCAGAGTATATCCAAATGAACTGGGATGACTTCTCACTTTTATTGAACAGTTACCTCCATAAAACAGCCAGTTTGTCAGTCTCTTAAATGGCTAATTTTAAGATGATTTTCTCAGTGCAGCACCTGGGACACATCTCTGGTGTCACTTCAGATTTACAGGCCCCTTTAAATGGAAACAATTTTACTATCCGATTTCTTGCTAATGTAATCATTGTACTAACCTAGCACATAAGCCTTTTTCTGTATAAAATTTAGTTCTTATTTCAAACCCTAATTAGTGCCAGAATGTAGACTTTAAATGAGATGGCACTGCATTCGGTAGTGTAACTCCTGCTTTTCAGCTGGCAGTGCTATTCAGGGAAAAAATGGTATGGATTGGACCTCACTGGTCTGGCACCCTTGGGACCTGACTGGTGGAATTCTGGACTCTCCCTGGGTCGGTCAGCAGACCTAGAGGAGTTCCCCTGCCCCGGGCTACCACCTCCTGACTCCACCAGCCAGTCCCCACTGCCACAGCTCTGCTGCTCTCCAGGGTGGTGTGGCTACTGTGGCTCCAGAGCCTAAGGGTGCTGGAATTCTGCTATTCTGGGATGCCTTGGCTCCGCTGCCATGGCTCTCAGGCACGGGGACTGTCACAGCTCTAGAGTGCCGGAGCTGCTGTGGCTCAGGGGCTGCCGGGGCACCGCTCCCCAGGGTCACCGGGGCTGCTGGACTTTGTTGTCCCTGGCTGCTGCGACTTCCCGGATCCAGGGCCGCTAGGGCTCAGGGTGTTGGAACTTTGCTCCCCAGGGCCACCAGGGCTCTGCCATCACTTCTCTGCCCCAGAGATGCCGAGGCTCTGCTTCCTGGGGCTGCCAGGGCTGCCGTGGTTCCGCTGCTCCAGGGCTGTTGTGGCCAGCCAGGGGCCACCCAGCTCTCTGGTCCAGCAACAGCCGTGGCCCTGCCATATGTTGCCAGACCAAAGAATCTCAGACAAGAGAGGTTCAACCTGTAGTGAGCACGGCAGGGCTGTCAAATGTCTGGTGGACTGAGTATCACACACACTTTCCAGGTCCCTGTTATGAAATGTGCAAAATGTGCAGCACTCAGACCAATGCTTTGGTAATTTCCAGCTGTTACCTGCAAACTCTTTCCAGCTCTAGCAAACATCTTTACTGGATCATGGAGGAGTGGAACTCCAGAAAGGACTGGTGGCCAGCCTTCCACTTTAGTCACCATTTGGCTAAAATAAATTGGCAGGAAAATGAAAGTCTTGCTTGTGAAAAAGCATTCGTGGCTGGAATCTTGTTGGGAAAAGGTAATTTTAAATCATCTTTGCTCTGTAGAACAGATATATTGGCTAGTTCAAGCTTTAATGGCAGAGGATGTGTCTGGTGTGTGTTTTGAACCCCAAGATTTCAAGAAAGAGGTTGGCTTGATTCTGCAAGAGTGAATACAAGAAAGGCTCTAAAATGTTTGGTATTTGCCATTGAGGTGTAGTGTACCTTCCCCTTGTTGAATCCTTGGCAGTCAAAAGAAGAATGAACTAATAAACAGAATAAAATTAGGAGATTAGGAATACAAGGAAAAAATAGTTGCAGGTGGCACATTAGGCTTAGTACACCTGAAGTGGTCATTCCAGAAATACTGTGTGGAAGCTGCTTCCTGAGTGAGTGCTGGCTGTTAATAGATGTTGGAGGCACTATTCACTACTAACTAACTATTCTTATCTCAATAGATAAGGAAACCAAGGAAACTAAGCCTCTGAGTGTGGTGTGCCTAAAACTGTCTTTAGTTTAGCTGGGTGGTTGACTCTCAGAACAGATATGTGGTAACCATTAGGTTATCAGTAAGATCTCCAGTATAGAAAGATGTGGAGGCTTGAGAGATACTATCATGTCATGATTCAATAAACTTAGTGCTTGAATATAAGATATGCCTTTAGTGATTTTTTTTTTGCTTAAATGTTGTGCATCCAAACTTGCTTATAAAGAGAATGATTTGATTTATAAGTCTTGATGCTGTAATGCATCAGTCCACTGTCTGTTGGACCAAGGCAAGCAGAGCTGTGTGAGGTGGATAGCTTGATGGCAGTTCATGGGGCACATGTGGGAGAAGTGGCATTGAAATAGGGAGATGGAGGTGAAATGGAGTGGAGCTCTCTTTGGGTGAATCACATGTGGCTCATCAGAGCACCACTCTAGTTTGCTTCACTAATCCTAGGTTCTTACAGTTCAAGGCCCACTTCTCCCCATCGTTCCTACAAATAGGCCTGTATTCCAGAGGGGCAGAGTCCTCATGTGGCTGTGAGGAGTTGCCAGCAGAATAAGCTCTTAATCAGAGTTCCAGGAAAATCCATGCTATCTGAAGGAGGATGACTAATGGAAAATGGCTGGTCCCTTGTGCCTACAACGCACTCTCACCATGGAAGTCTGGTGTAGAGGACCTTCTATGGATTCCTAAGGAGGGATACACAATGCCATGGGAGCAGCACCCCACCTTCTTCATTGCACCCCAGAGTGAGAGCTTCTCAGTAAAGTCCCTTTGCCCATAGTAGGAGATGATTTAGAAGGTAATCTGAAATTTGTCTGGTAGCTGGGATTTTCCAAGGAAAGGCAATGTCATTCATCCTTTAATGGATCAGCTTTTCCATTGCTAACATCTTCCAGATTTCTGAAAAACGATTTTTTTATTTTAAATATAAAGAGCCCACTTCCAACTACTGGCTGTTACCTGGTCAGTTAACTAATTCAGTTCCAGTTGTAGGGTGATTTTCTGGAAGCTCATTTAAGCTAAAGAAGTGACATGTACATGTTGAAGAGAGAATAGTTTTGCTAATGTTAGGACTTGTGTGTATATATAATTACTTTCTGGGCTAAATGAACTCTTTGTGCTCGTACGTTCTAATAGATCTGAAAAACGTTACAAAATTATACTTGCCAGAAAAAAAACAATGACATGTACAGTTACCTACACTCACTTGCCACTGTCTCTGAGAATGTGTGGGGGAGACTTTCTTGGTCTAAATATTATAACTGCTTATTTGGTAGTGGTAGTATACCTTATGCACAGACATCTTGTACTAGTGACTTCTATTAGAAATTTTTCTTTAAATTTTGTGTTCTTCAGTTTGTATCACAGTGTGGCTTATACTGTCATTTCATTTTTGTTTTAGATTGCAAATACTTCAGATATGTTTCACACCAAGGCCACAAAGCCAAGAAAGGAAGGTTTCAGACAATGAAGAAATTTGTGAAGAAACACAGCTCTTCTCATTTAAGAGCATCTGGTGTTTTGGATTCCTGCATCCACCTTTGATGTTTGAGAGGACTTTAAGGACCACTTATAAAAACTGCTAAATTATTTTCCCAGCATTTCTATGCGGCTTTTTTTCCAGGTTCTTGCTACTAAGAACGGTGAAAGTGGATTGTCAGCTCAGTGCTGGACTCAGCATATTGCTGATTGCAATCTTTGATTTGTATTATTTATAATAAAAGGGAAGTAAATCCATTAGTAAGGGAATCTGTTTTTTTTAATATTTATTCCATATTTGTTTGTGTGAGATTTAATAAGCAGAGCTGACACTTCAGGACCATACATGGAAGTTATTTAGTAATTGTGGAGCCGTGTACCTATTGTTTACTGTTGTTGGGACATATCCTGCTCCTATTTTGACATTGCTTTAAATGGGAGCAAGTAAGGTCATGTTTCAAATCCAGTCAAATAGACCATGATATAAAATAGTTAATATTTGGCTGCAGCTAGAGATTTCAAGTCACTTGTTCCTGTATGGGAACTTTCCACCCTCTCACTTGCTTTGTTGCAAGAAAGGCAGACTGAAAAATACTTAAACAAGTAAACAAGACATGTTGCTAGTTGACACCATCTAGGGATTATCTTCTGTACTGAGAAATCCATGGAATCAATTACTCGGGGAAAAAAGTGTGTGGAGTGCCTGGGCTTAACTAAGTAGTTTATGGTTAGGGTTGGACATTTTTGTTCTTTAAATTTTTATAACTTCACCAGCTAATATCTATCTTTAAGCATTTTCTCCATTTTTATTTATTTACATTATCACAGTTGCAGGAAGTTTTGAGGTGGCGTGTCAGACAATATGAGGCAAGTCAGACAGACTATTTAATGACGGTAGACACAGATTTTAAAAGTTGAAGCTTTATTACCATGAAAATACAAATGGTCAAAATATACTAAGTAAGTATCCAAAAAGCAAATAGGTTTTCAAGTAACATTTTTCTTTCTTTGCCCATCTATAAGTTTCTGTGGAAACATCTGTGGAAACATCTATGGAAATATTTTTTCATTCATTATTACTACCCATTATTACATCATCTGTGGAAATATTTTTTCATCCATTTGTGTGTATGACTTTTACAAACATTTACTGATTAAAAATTGGATCCTACGAAACAAGGGATGTGAATGGGTAACTGGTTACCCGGTAAGCATTACTCCGAGTGGCTCCCCTCGTGGACAGGCTCCCACCTGCTACCCTGCGCAGCTGCCTTTATATCCGGCTGCTGGCCTTGCCACCAGAGACTATCGAATTATCGTGTAACTGCTAAGATTTTAATCGATATCTAACATCCCTAGTCCTGTTCATGAACAAGACTGAACATGAAACCCCCTCCTTCTTAGAATCCAAGTGTTAGTATCATGGGGTCACAAATTATGTGAAATCATCCATGATATAACATGGTTATGAACTTGGTAAAGGTGTTTTTAACAGATCCATGCATTGCTTGTATTAAAATAAAACTCATGCAATTACCTTTCACGCAGTAGTTATTTAGAGTTGTTCATTTTATGTTGTGTGCTTCCTTTTTGGAGTCTTGCACATCAGGATGGCTTTGTCTTTCTTTGGCTCAACAGGAACTAATTGGTGAATATGAGCCATTGGAAGACAAGGAGTTTTCTATAATCCTTTTGGCTAGTAATTGTCTTCTGAAATGAAAAATATTAATTAGGGAAGGTGGAGGCAAAGATTAAGAAAGAGCTGAGAGAAACCCCTTTAGTCCAGTAATTATTAAAGAAAAGAAAAAATAGCATTTGATTTTAGGCCAAACTTAAGAAAAAAAGCTTAAATCTTTTTAGAATATAAAAAAAGTTTGTGTAGACCCTGATGTCTGATCAGCTTGGGGATCTTGGAAAATGATCCCTCGCTCTCAGAGGCCTTTGGGGAAAGTCCTATTCTCGCTTACAGACAACCCTCCAACCTGAAACGAATTTTCAGGTAACCATGCTACACAATCACATCATAAGCATCCAGGAACCCAGCCCTGAAATTAGCCGTGGTGCCAACTCTGCCCACATATCAATGCAAGTGAATTCATCACTGGAGCCAACAATATAAGCTACCAAATCAGAGGATCATTCAACTGTACATCCAGTAATTTGATCTATGCCATCAAATGCCAGCAATGCCCCATTGCTATATATTGGACAAACTGGACAGTCCCTATGAGGGAATCAGTGGACATAAATCAGATATACGTAAAGGGAACATACAGAAACCTGTTGGAGAGCACTTCAATCTACCTAATTGCTCTTTAAAAGATCTCCAGGTGTCTGTCTTGTCACAAATCAATTCTACAAGTCAAATACACTGAGGCTACGTCTAGATTGCATCCATTTTTCGGAAAAGGGATGCAAATTAGACGTATCGCAATTGCTAATGAAGTGGGGATTTAAATCTTCCGTGCTTCATTAGCATAAAAATGGCTGCCGCTTTTTTTCCGCACGGAGCTTTGCCAGAAAAAAGCACCAGTCTAGACACTGATCTTGCGGAAAACAAAGCCTTTTCCGAAAGATCCCTTATTTCCTAGAGCAGTGGTCCCCAACCATTAGAGGTTGCCGGGCGCCAAGGCGAGTGGCCATTCGCCTGCTGGGCGCCAGAGGGCAGGGACACTTGCGCGCCCGGGGGCGGGACCCCCCATAGCCATGTGCTCGAGGCCGGTGCCCCCTCCAAGCGCCCCTCCCCAAGCACCGCATGCCCGGGGCCGGTGCCCCCCCCAGGCACCACATGCCTGGGGCTGGCGGCCTCCCCCCCCCAAGCGCCAGGTCAGCCCCGAACACTTGGCAGGCGCACACAAATGCCCCCACGGGCACCGTGTTGGGGACCACTGCATTAGATATACCACAAATGCCTGGTCAGGAAAAGTTGGCTCCGGCACCATGTATGCGCCACGTGCCCGGGGCCAGGCCAGCCCCGAGCACTTGGTGGGCACACACAAATGCCCCCGCAGGTGCCATGGCGCCCGCAGGCACCGCGTTGGGGACCACGGTCCTAGAGGGATAAGGGATCTTTCGGAAAAGGCTTTATTTTCTGCAAGATCAGCATCTAGACTGGCGCTTTGTTCCAGCAAAGCTCTGTGTGAGGGGGAAAATAAGCGGCAGCCATTTTTATGCTAATGAAGCGGGGAAGATTTAAATCCCTGCTTCATTAGCAATTGCGATATGTCTAATTTACATCCCTTTTACGAAAAAGGGATGTAGTCTAGATGTAGCCAGAGAGGTGTTGGAATTACAATTCATCCACAAGTTCAATTCTTGCGCTGATGGCCTCAATTGAGATGAGGGATGACTGGGACATTATCAACCTAACATTCAATGAAGGTGCAAACAGCTCTTTGTCTGTGTAGATTCTTGTGTTAGTACCCTTCCTATCTATTGCTATCTTTTGATCCTTATCTGCTTCTTTTTAACTATCCAATCTTCAGGTGCTTATAGATTGCCCGTTCTGCCTACTTGTTTTCCCCTTTGATATTTTCATACTCTCTGCTTGTTTCCTGCACCCCCCCCTTTACTTTTTTTTCCTTACCCCTTCTCCCCTATTTATTTTGGGTCTGCACATCCTAAACTTAGAAGTCCGGTCATCTGAAGAAGTAGGCTATGCCCACAAAAGCTCATGATACCATCTATATGTTTTGTTAGTCTATAAAGTGCTACCAGACCATTTGTTGTTTTTTTTAAGTTTATCCTGTACAGACTAACTTAGCTACCCCCTGAAACTTCAGTCATTGGTGGACTTATTCTTTGTGAATTTAAGTAATTCTTTTTTTTAACCTAGTTACACTTTTGGCATCTAGTGGCAACAAGTACCACAGGTTGACTATGATGTGTTAAGTATGTCCTTTCGTTTGTTTTAAACTGCTGCCTATTAATTTAATTGGGTGACTGCTGGCTCTTATAAAAACAATGTCTAGTCCTGTGGCACCTTAGAGACTAATATAATCATGAGCTTTTGTGGGCAAAACTTCTGTATTACAGGAAAGGATAAATACATTTTTCCCACACCGTTTATGATTTTATAGACCTCTATCATATCTCACCTTATTCGTCTCTTTTCCAGGCTGAACAGTCCCCATCTTTTTTTATCTTTCCTCATAGGGAAGCTGTTCCATATTCCTAATCACTGTTGTTGCCCTTCTTTGTACCTTTTATATACAATGGATTTAGATAGTCATTATGATACTTATAGTCGTCTTATCTGTCCTTTTTCTAACATTGTTAGCTTTCTTGACTGCCTTTGCACCTTGAGCAGATGTTTTGAAAGAATTATTCATGATGTTTCCACGATCTTTCTTGAGTGGGAATGGCTAATTTAGATTCCATTTTGTACGTGCAGTTGGGATTACATTTTCTAATGTGCATTACTTTGTATTTAGCAGCATGGGATTTCATCTGGTGTTTTGTCATCCAGTCACCCAGTTTTGTGAGATCTCCTTGTAACTCATCTCCCAGAGTGAGAGCTTCTCAGTAAAGTCCCTTTGCCCATAGTAGGAGATGATTTAGAAGGTAATCTGAAATTTGTCTGGTAGCTGGGATTTTCCAAGGAAAGGCAATGTCATTCATCCTTTAATGGATCAGCTTTTCCATTGCTAACATCATCCAGATTTCTGAAAAACGATTTTTTTATTTTAAATATAAAGAGCCCACTTCCAACTACTGGCTGTTACCTGGTCAGTTAACTAATTCAGTTCCAGTTGTAGGGTGATTTTCTGGAAGCTCATTTAAGCTAAAGAAGTGACATGTACATGTTGAAGAGAGAATAGTTTTGCTAATATTAGGACAGCTTTGGACTTGGCTGTCCTGAGTAATTTTGTATCATCTACAGACTTTAGCTCCTTCTCGTTTACCGGTTTTTCTAGATCATTTGTGAATATTAGCACAGGTCTCCATGCAGATCCTTGGAGGACCTCACTGTCTCTATTGACTGTGAAAACTGTATTTATTCCTACACTTTTTCCTATCTTTTAATCAAGTATTGATAAATGAGAAGGCCTTTCCTCTTATCCCAAGAGCACTTGCTTTGCTTGCAAGCCTTTCGTGAGGGACTTGGCAAAGGCTTTTTGAAAGTCCAAGTACAAATTACTTCTATGAATATACATTATGCAATTGAAATCAGAATCCAATCCTTCTGCCTTTGGTAATATCTCTCACCTTTGCAACAACCATCCTTATATCTGCCTGTCCTTGGGTTTTCTAAGGTG